TCGCTGGGCATGGTGGCATGCACCTGTAATCCCAGCTACTTGGGAGGCTGAGCAGAAGAATCACTTGAACCTAGGAGGCGGAGGTTGCAGTGAGCTGAGATTGCGCCACTGCACTCCAGCCTGGGCGACAGAGAAACGCCCTGTGTCAAAAAAAGGAACACCTGGCCAGGCATGGTGGCGCACACCTGTAATCCCAGCACTTTGGGAGGCAAAAGTGGGTGGATCGCTTGAGGCCAGGAGTTTGAAACCAGTCTGGGCAACACACTGAAAGCCTGTCTCTACAAAAAATAGGAAAATTAGCTGGGCGTGTTGGCACCAGCCTCCCTCTGTCGCCCGGCTGGAGTGCAGTGCCATGGTCATGGCTCGTTGCAGCCCCAACCTCCCAGGTCCAAGAGAGCCTCCCACCCTCAGCCTCCTGGGTATCTGGGATCACAAGTACACACCAGCACACATGACTGGGTTTTGTTGTATTTTTGTAGACACAGGAGTCTCGCCATGTTGCCCAGGCTGATCCAGATCCTGGCTTCAAGTGATCCGCCTGTCTTGATCTCCCAAAGTGCTGGGATTACAGGCGTGAGTCTCAGATTACATTTAAACATGAAGTTTGGGTGGGACATCCGAACTATATCATGGGCCAAAACATATTGCTTTCTTTCTTTTTTTTTTTATTTTACTTTAAGTTCTGGTATACATGTACGGAACGTACAGTTTTGTTACGTAGGTATATGTGTGCCATGGTGGTTTGCTGCACCTATTGACCTGTCTTCTAAGTTCCCTCTCCTTGCCCCCCGCCCCCCCAACACATTTCTTTCTTTTTTTTTTTTGAGACAGAGTCTCACTCTGTTTCCAGGCTGGAGTGCAATGGCGCAATCTCCGCTCACCACAACCTCTGCCTCCCAGGTTCAAACAATTCTCCAACCTCAGCCTCTTGAGTAGCTGGGACTACAGGCAACCACCACCACGCCTGGCTAATTTTTTGTATTTTTCGTAGAGACAGGGTTTCACTATGTTAGCCAGGCTGCTCTCAAACTCCTGACGTCAAGTGATCCGCCCACCTCAGCTTCCAAAAGTGCTGGCATTATAGGCGTGAGCCACCACACCTAGCCAGTTTGGCCCTTTTTCTGGTGGGATGTGATAGAATATTCCTTGGACCTTTGCTCAGCAGGAAATGATGGAGATATTCCTACAGTTGGACCTTTGACTGGCAGGATATGATAAAAAAAAAAGTCAGGTAGCCAGGCTCAGTGGCTCACGCCTGTAATCCCAACACTTTAGGAGGCTGAGACGGGTGGATCACTTGAGGTCAGGAGTTCACAACCAGCCTGGCCAACATGGTGAAATCCCTTCTCTACTAAAGAGGCAAAAATTAGCCAGATGTGATAACGCACACTTGTAATCCCAGCTACTCGGGAAGCTGAGGCAAGAGAATCACCTGAACCTGGGAGGTGGAGGTTGCAATTAGCTGAGATCGTGCCACTGCACTCCAGCCTGGGCGACAGAGCAGGACTCCATCTCAAAAAAAAAAAAAAAAAAAGAGAGACTGGGCGTGGTAGCTTATGCCTGTAATCTCAGCACTTTGGGAGGCCGAGGCAGGTGGATCACAAGGTCAGGAGATCGAGACCAGCCTGGGGAACACAGTGAAACCCCTTCTCTACTAAAATACAAAAAATTACCCGGGTGTGGTGGCACGTGCCTATAATCCCAGCTACTCGGGAGGCTGAGGCAGGAGAATTGCTTGAACCTGGGAGGTGGAGGTTGCAGTGAGCCGAGATTGTGCCACTGCACTCCAGCCTGGCCAACAGAGCGAGACTCCGTCTCTAAAAAACAGAAAAGAAAAAGAAATACAGTCAGATGGTTGGGCAGGACATTTCTAACAGCCTGAGCCCCCGTGGAATGTTTCACTTTGACCAGGGTCTGGGAAATGGCGGGGGACTGACACAGTGGTGCAGTTTGGACTAACACCAAGTGTTGGCGAGGATGTGGGAGAACACGATCTCTCATTCACTGCTGGGTGGGCTCCCCTGCCCCGTGCTTGACCCACCTGTCCCTGCAGGTATCGGGGCTGAGAGGCCCTGTGCTGCGCCTGCGGGAGCCACTGGGGGTGCTGGCTGTGGTGTGTCCGGACGAGTGGCCCCTGCTGGCCTTCGTGTCCCTGCTCGCTCCCGCCCTAGCCTGCGGCAACACTGTGGTCATGGTGCCCAGCGCAGCCTGTCCCCTGCTGGCCCTGGAGGTCTGCCAGGTATAGTCCTCTGCCTTCCTGCCTGCCTCTGCTCCCCGTAGCCTCTGGGTGACAGACAAAAGAGTGTGGCTCTTACCACCCTCCGTGATAACCGTGATGTCCCCACCCCAGCATCCAGGCCTTCACTCCTCAGGGACCCAGTGCCCATTCTTAACCCCAGTCTGGGGCCTTCTCGTCCATGACCCCCGTCCTGTTGAATGCCCGCTAAGCCTTGCCTTGTCCCCATGGCCCTCTCAACCCTCCCACTCTCTCCATCCCCCAGGACATAGCCACCCTGTTCCCAGCGGGCCTGGCCAACGTGGTGACAGGAGACCAGGACCATCTGACCCGCTGCCTGGCCTTGCACCAGGACGTCCAGGCCCTGTGGTATTTTGGATCTGCCCAGGTGCTCTTTGTTCTGTTTTGCCATATTCAGCATCTCACACTTCCAACAGGCTCCTCCTTTTCTGGAAACAGCCCCGCCGTCTTAGAATTCCTGTTGCTAAGGGGAGAAACTCCTTGACAACAAGGTTCTGAGGCCCTGCCCTTAAGATGCCAGTTACTAAGGAAGAGGCGGTCCTTAGCAACAAGGGCCTGAGAGCTGCCCAGCTCCAAGACCTCATCTCAGTGGACAGCTGATGCTAAGGACCACACCCTAGATTTGAAGGCCCAAAGTCTACTCTTTTTTTTTAATTTTTGAGACAGAGCCTCACCCTGTCACGCAGGCTAGAGTACAGTTGTAAAGTCACACCTCACTGCAGCCTCAACCTCCCAGGCTCAAGCCACCATCCCACCTCAGCTTGCTGAGTAGCTGGGACCACCAGCGTGCAACACTATGCCCAGCTAAATTTTTTATTTTGTAGAGACGGGTTTCTCTGTGTTGCCCAAGCTGATCTCACACTCCTGGGCTCAAGTGATCTGCCCACCTTGGTGTCCCAAAGAGCTGGGAGTACACGTGTGAGCCGGCACAATTGGCTGAGTCCACTCTATTTATTTAGACAGTCTCACTCACTCTGTTGCCCAGGCTGGAGTGCAGTGGCGTGATCTCGGCTCACTGCAACCTCTGCCTCCCGGTTTCAAGTGATTCTCCTGCCTCTCGAGTAGCTGAGACCACAGGCATGCGCCACCACGCCTGGCTAATTGTTGTTGTCATTTTTTTTTAGTAGAGACGGGGTTTTGCCATATTGGCCAGGCTGGTCTCAAACTCCTGACCTTGAGAAATCTGCCTGCCTCAGCCTCCCAAAATGTTGAGATTATAGGTGTGAGCCACTGTGCCCAGCCAATTTTTACTTTTTTTTTTTCTTTTTTTTTTTTTTGAGACGGAGTCTCACTCTTGTTACCCAGGCTGGAGTGCAATGGCGAGATCTCGGCTCACCGCAACCTCCGCCTCCTGGGTTCAGGCAATTCTCCTGCCTCAGCCTCCTGAGTCGCTGGGATTACAGGCACGCACCACCATGCCCAGCTAATTTTTTGTATTTTTTTAGTAGAGACGGGGTTTCACCATGTTGACCAGGATGGTCTCGATCTCTTGACCTCGTCATCCACCCGCCTCGGCCTCCCAAAGTGCTGGGATTACAGGCTTGAGCCACCACGCCCGGCCTCCAGCTGATTTTTGTATTGTAGTAGAGATGGGGTTTCACCATGTCGGCCAGGCTGGTCTTGAACTCCTGACCTCATGATCCGTCCACCTCAGCCTCCCAAAGTGCTGGGATTACAGGCATGAGCCACTGCAGCCACAATTTTTACTTTTTACATAGAGACCGAGTCTCGCTATGTTGTCCAGGCTGGTCTTGAATTCCTGAGCTCAAGTGATCCTCCTGCCTCAGCCTCCCCAAGTGCTGGGATTACAGCAGTGAGCCACCATGCCCCACCGTCCGCTCTCTTAAACCTCCCGTTGCTAACAGATGTGAACTTGTTCACAAGAGCCTGTGCCCCATTCCTTTGAACTTGGGCTGTTAAGAGAGAGGAAATTCCCTAACCCCTGGGTCAAATGCTTTTCCCTCCCATCTGGAAGCTTTGCTTGGGAAGAGCAGCGCATTGTAGCTACAGAGCCTGGGTCCAGTGAAGGCCCTTTCAGTAACAGTCCTCATCGAGGAGGCAGTAGGTGATTAGCAACAAGCCCATAGAAGTGCTGACCCCCCTCTCTCCCCACCTCAGGGCTCCCAGTTTGTGGAGTGGGCCTCGGCAGGAAACCTCAAGCCAGTGTGGGTGAGCAGGGGCTGTCCGCGGGCCTGGGACCAGGAGGCCGAGGGGGCAGGCCCCGAGCTGGGGCTTCGAGCGGCGCGGACCAAGGCCCTGTGGCTACCCATGGGGGACTGATGCCTGAGCACTAGCCACTGCATTTTGGGTGTCTTGGACCAAGGGGAGATGGATCCCCACATACCCCTGGGACTTCCCCCTTCTGTTTCCTGTGCCTTCCAATAAACTCTCTGACCAACCCTAGCTGTGTTTCTGCAGGAAGAAAGGGAGTCATGGCCAGGCATGGTGGCATATGCCTGTAATCCCAGCACTTTGGGAGAAGGAGGTGGGCACCTGAGGTCGGGAGTTTGAGACCAGCCTGACCAACATGGAGAAACCCTGTCTCTACTAAAAATACAAAAAATTAGCCAGGTGTGGTGGCGTGTGCCTGTAATCCCAGCTACTCAGGAGGCTGAGGCAGGAGAATCGCTTGAACCCAGGAGACGGAGGTTGCAGTGAGCCAAGATCACGCCATTGCACTCCAGCCTGGGTAACAAGAGTGAAACTCCATCTCGGGAAAAAAAAAAAATCCAGGGCTAGAGTGACACCTGCCAGGCCCAATGTGACAAGATGCATCCTGAATCCTGTGTGCCAAGCCTTGGCGGGGCAAAGTTGGGGCCCAAAGGATGGTCAGACACAGCAACTCCTAAATCTCGGAGACAGATCCCCGTTCCAGCCCCAGCTCACCACGCACTGAGTGCACGTGACACCCAGGGAGTCAGCCCCACCACCGTCCCCGCCACTGGGCGTCCGGGAACGCGCCTTTTGTGGCGTGAGCGGCCGCTTGTCACCACCAGGGGGCGCGCTCTGCCTGGGCCCAGATTCCACTACTTCTGTCTCCCCACAAAAATTTCCTTTCACTTTCGGTCTCTGGCTGTCACCCGGCTTGGCCCCTTCCACCCAGCTGGGGCAAGCCTGGTGCGTGGGGAGGCTTGGACTCTAGGTTCCCCAAGGGGTGGAGCCAAGGTCCCTACTCCTGGGGCAGAGGGAGCAGAGGATGGGGGGCTGGGTTCCTGGGTCCCTAACCTTGGGAGGGTTCTGGGGACCAGAAGTCGGGGTTCTTGGAAGTGGAGATGAAGAGTTTTCACCGTAACTGGTGCAGACGCAGGAAGCCTGGGGGAGGAAGTGGGGGAAACTTGGCCACATCAAAGTCATACAGGAGAGGTGGGGAGGCGCAGGGGCGGGCAGGGCAGGGGTTGGGGCATGGGGGTCCGAGACTTGTTCTTCTGTCCCTTCCAAGACCCGGCCGCAGGAGGCATGAGGGTCCCCCGGCCGAGATGACAGTGCTGGTGCCAGCCTGGAGTCCAACAGTGCGTAAAACCCAGAAAAGGTTGGGGGAGAGACAGGGGAGGTACCATGTCAGGATGAGGCAGAGGTGTGGGGAGACGGACAGGAGGGGAGCTGGGCAGAGGAGGGGGAGATGGACAGAGGAGGGGGAGATGGAGAGGAGGGGAGATGG